ATGTTATTCTAAAAAGTTAAAAGGCATAGTACTCAACTAGGATATGAAGGAACTAAATGGCTGAAAACCTGATCAGGGGCACGTTACTTCAGTAGAGATCTCAAAAGTTTCTTCCCAAACAAAAATAAGATATAGTTAACAGATACAGAAATTTTCAATATTATTCTGGTATGTTTTTCTGTATATTAGTGTTCATCTTATTGGACATATGGAAATGTCGTTGGGAGGACACATGATTCTGAGAATTACCTCTAGTGAAAACGTGGATCTAACTGGCCAGAGGCCAGAAGAAAAAAGACTTCACCACCAGAGGAGATAATTAAGTCAAACAACCTTCAAATCTGGGGAAGATCACTTTTGCACAGTTGTTTTTCCATGTCCATTTATAGAATATCACATTGCTTATTATGGGGTACTCTTTCATCCAACTGATATTTATAGAGTGCCTCTAATGTGCCAGAGACTGTTAGCCATCAGGTAAAGAGAAAACAGCGAAGCAGGCAAGGTTCCTGTTCTCTCGGCTCTTGTTTTCTAGTTCTGTTGGTCATTGTGATGGCAGAGGAGGGAGAGACCTTGGAGAACAATAAAAATGATATTTTTATATTAAAAGAGATTTGATTTATACTAATTTGTGAATATAGTTATGGGAGCTGGTTAAGTAGTCAGTTTCCCTGATCTCAAGATGCCAGCATATAGCATGATGTGAAAAAGCTTTAAGAGATGCTGTATGCCAGAGAGTGTGTGTTCACTTTCCCTTTAGTGATCAGATAGACAGATGCCATAACCACTGAGGGAATTCCAGTCCCAGAAACATTTCATCTAATTATTGAGGTTAATAAATTACCTAGGTTATTAAAAACAAAGCATAAGGGACCACTGGATGACCAGCCTCCAGAGCTCATGTTTTGCCCACCAAATTGATTCACCCCAGGTATTCCACTTTAAGTGGAATGAATTCTCACATTTACTCTGCTTTCCATGGAATAAACTGTACTAGCAGACAACTACAATGGCTGTCATCTGTCAGCAGTTATTACCTACCATTAAAGCTAAAGGGAGTGTTAATGAAAAATATTACAGCATGCTTTGCAAAATTCACAAACTATTTTAATATTGCCCCCTGCCAAGCTAAATATAGTGGTCTGCCTAATCAGAAATTTTTACCTCTCTCATCTTCTCCCCTATTCTGCTTTCCAGATACCCAGCATCCATCCAACCTGCAGTAACAAAGGCCATATTCGATTACTTAAAGCAGAATTCAGTCTCATTTTACCAGAGGTTATTCTGCAAGAGTCTTTTGTGTTTTGTCTTTCCATGTTCTGAAAAGGGTGTGTATTGAAGGCTGCAGACCATTCTTCCTGAATAGATAGCTTTAGGTGGACTCAGAAGCCTGGATGTGCTGTCACAGAGCTGTAGGGAAGCTGAAACAATGCTCTTCGTAAATAGGCTTTGTCTGCCCATGCTGGCAACAACTGCTCCAGAAAGAGTACACAGGCAATATGCTACTGTGTATTCCCCACAGGCACTTAGCACTCATGCACACAGCTTCCAAATTTGTCATCTGTCTTTTCTACTTTTGCCAAATTCCTATTCTCCCTGGTCAGAGCCATAAGACATAAGCTTCTTTTCCAGTCTCTGGGGCCCATGATCATTCTAGCCTTGTGACTGTTCACTTTCCAGTGTGTGTGTGTGTGTGTGTGTGTGTGTGTGTGTGTGTGTGTAAAGGGGGTGGGGGGAGTATTATGGGACGCATTCCCCATGGTTTCAGAATTAAATTGCGTCCCAGGGCTTACAAAGTTATATGCTAGTTGGTGGTTCTAACTGCAAAAAATGAAGAATATTGAGTAAACTTAGAAACAATAGTTATAGACAGAGATATTTCTGAGCTCTTTGTCGTATTAGTGTCTCCCCACTGTGACTTGTTTAGAGTGATGTGAACAAGCATGATACTGAGGAGAGACACAGACCCAGTAAGGTTAGGTGGCACCAGCCTGGGTACAAACAGTGTCCAAGTTGGGACCACAACGTATGCTTCCTGCTCTCCATTTGACCAACTTTATTTGAGTTAAGAAAATACTTCAGAGAGGAGAACTTTAAGCTAGGTCTTGAAATAAATATCCATGATTAGGAAAAGGAAAATATGTGAAAAAGTAAAACCACATAGGTGAAGGGAGACATGTGCTAAAAGATGGCTTTCCAAGAACCCATCAAGGTAAAGAGGGTGAGTGGCCACAAAAGACTACAGAAGTCTTTGGGACTAGACATGGAGGGACATTCAAGTGACACTAAGGATTATCTCTTTATCTCATGGGCAATAGGGACATAATTAGATTTCAGTTTGGATAGATCATTACACACAGTTTTGCTCATACAGAAACCATTATCCTTGCCCAGGCCAGTTTGGCTCAGTGGATAGAGTGTGGGCCCTTGAACTGAAGGGCCATGCGTTTGATTCCAGTCAAGGACACTTACCTCAGTGTGTCAATCCCTAGAATCCCTGCCCTGGTTGGTGCCCGTGCAGGGTGCAACCAATTGATGTGTTTCTCTCTGCCTCTCCTCCTCCATTCCACTCTCTCTAAAAATCAATGGGACCTGGAGAGCATTATGCTAAGTCAAATTAGCCAGTCAGAGAAAGATAAATACCACATGATCTCACTCATTTGTGGAATATAGAGAACTGCATAGACTGATGAACAGGGACAGATCCAAAGACAGAGAAACAGCAATCAGACTATCAATCCCCAGAGGGAAAGGAGGGGAGGGTGGGGGTAAGGGGAGGAGATCAACCAAAGGACTTGTATGCATGCATATAAGCCAAACCAATGGACATGGACAACAGGGGGATGAGAACATGAGTGTGGGGGCGGGGGGAAGGTTGGGGGTTAATGGGGGTATGAGGACACATTTGTAATACCTTAACTAATAAAGAAATTAAAAAAATCAATGGGAAAATGTCCTCGGGTGAGGATTGACCAAAAAATAAAACAATTGTCCTTGATAATTGGAAATTAAAAATATCAAATGTAGGGCGCAGGTCTATCTGTACACTAAAGTGTTAAAAGAAGAACTTGTTGAAGAAATTTAGAAACTCCAGAGTTAATATGCTAGCTGGAAAGATAAAGACATATAAGAGCAGTTCTGTAGAAATGTAGATTCAGATTGGATTCAGCATCTATAACAAACATTGAGATAGGAGAGGACAAGTTTAAAGAGTGGACTAAATAGATTTTTCTGAAGAAGAGGAATTTCACTTGGGTTTTGATGGATGTGACCAGTAAAGATAAAAGGGGAAAGTAAATATTATAAATAAAACACAAAGTATTTGTGGAATATATAGAGTCAAATTATTTGGTTGAATTATTTGCTTTAAGAAATGACCCATACAGATGTTAGTGAGAAATGACTGTGGGGAAAATTCCTAGGATGAAAGCATTTGATTGGGACACTGGATGCCAGACCAACGGCCTCAAAGCTTTAGGAAGTTAGCCCCAGACTAGGGTTCAAGGAGTCCATCTAGTATTATTAGATGGCTTGAATAAAGTTTTTTGTCACAGCCAGAGTTATTTGTCAGAAACAACAAACTATTGCTGTCTGGTTTAAGCAGCAAAGGGATATTTTGAAAGGATATCAGATATCTCATGGATTTGCTGGCAATTCTGAAAAATGATCAGGAATAAAGTGAAAACTCGAGACTGTAGCCAACATCAACAGTGCAGAAATCATCCCCTGGGGAAATGTCACCTCAGTTGCTGAACACTAGGTTGTGACTCATACCACATGTTTGTGACCATCAGAGCCTGATGACATCACTGCCACTGCTGCCAGGCAGGATATATCCTGCCCTGAATCCTGCTTCAAAACCCAGACCAAGTGTGACTGGTGTACCGAGGCTAGGTCATAGACTCAAACATAGAATGAGATTCAGATAAAAGGTAATACCAAAAGAAGTTATTGTTACTACAAGTCTGTTGTTGTCATTGCTTTTGGAGTATACATTCTTGCATTGTTGTTATTGATTTCATGGGAATTACTGATATGGTCTCTAATTTCCTTAAGGATTTTCTAAATAACTTACCTATAGTCTTTATAACAATATCAGAAACACCACCTGACCCTGCTGGATTCTTACTAGGCTTCACCAGAACACTTACTTACAATAGGCCAGATTCCTTGTTTCTATTTTTTTTTCCATTGAGATAACATTCACCATTTTAAATTATACAACTCTAGTTTTTAGTACATCCACAGTATTATGAAACCACCACCACTATCTAATTCCAGCATATTTTTATCACTCAAAAAAAAAACACAACTCTGTTACCATTACCCAGTGATGCATTAATCTCCCTCCCTCCAAGCACTGGCAATCACTAATCTACTTTCTGTCTCAATGAATTTCCTATTTTGGTGATTTCATATGAATAGTAGTATATAATATGTGACTTTTTGTGTATGGCTTCTTTAAATTGCCATAATGTTTTCAAAATTTACTCCTGTTGTAGAATATCTTAGTGTTTCATTCCTTTTATGGCTGAATGATGTTCCGTTGTATGTATATAACACATTTGTTTAATTTATTCATCTGTTGATGAACTCTTAGTTGTTTTTATTTTTTGGCTATTGTGAATAAGGCTTCTATGAACATTAGTATAAAACATATCTGACTCTCTGTTTTTAATTCTTTTGGAGATAATACCCGAGAGTGGAATTTTTGTGTCACATGGTACGTTTAACATTTTGAGGAATCACCAAATTGTTTTCCACAGTTTTACCATTTTACAATCCCACTAACAATATGAGAGTTCCAATTTTTACATCCCTGCCAACACTTGTGCCAATTAATTAATTTTCTCCCTAGATTTAGTGGGACATACGCAGGTGACGAGGGGTCAGCAATAACGGCCTATCCCCTGCTACTTCAATGTCTAGAAAGTTGAGCCAACCAGAACACATGAACACACAAGACAGAATTAGTATGCAATCACACAGGGTTTATTTACCTATTCCTAGTGGGTCCTAGGCTCCAGCAAAGGCCACCTGGCAATGCACACCGAAAGAAGGACGACGCAGACGAAGACAGACAGGCGGCCACAGGTGGTTGAGGCTCGCACAGCAGAGCAGTCAGTCAGGGGCTTGTCTCACGGAGTGACGTGGAGTCGTCCTCTCATCAGGCAGGAGATGTCGACTAAGGAAGGTCCGGTGCTTATATTGCCGGTCGTAAACAACTTGTGTCTTATCGGTGTGGGCCAGATGGTGTGCCTTATGCTAAGAGCAGGGCCTTTACACTTTAAGGGCTTAGAGTGTTCACATCAAGATAGTGGGGTGTTCACCAATTTGGAAGTTACAAAGTATTGGGGTCTCCACACAGCAAACATTTCACACAATAATTATATCACACATTAGAGGGGTTTCCTTATGACCATAGCATTATTATAACAGTCACTAAGCCTGGCCAGAGGTCAGGGCCAATCAAGGCCTTCTGGCTGCCGGCCGGGGACTTCCTTCGTTCTGTGCTGCCACCTGGTGGTCAGTGAACGTCATAGCGAGCAATTGAACTCCTATCTCCTGGTCAAACTCCTGAGGGGACACTTTGCATATTAGCCTTTTATATATAGAGAGACAAGAAGCCCATTGCACAAAGATTTGTGCAGTAGGCCTTCCTTCCCCTGGCTGCCAGCACCGGTTTTCCTCCAGCACTCAGGACCCAGGCCTTTGGTCCGGCCGCAGTGGAGAAACCAAGCCTGGAGGCTAGACTTCTCCCCTGTGGCCGCAGCAGAGAAGCCAAGCCTCTTCAGTCTTCAGTCTTTGCTCTGTGCCTGCCAAATTAACTGCCATCTTTATTGGGTTAATTTGCATACTCATCTTGATTGGCTGGTGGGCATAGTGGAGTGACACCAATTTGCATGTTTCCCTTTTATTAGTGTGGATTAATATCGCTATTCTAGTGAGTTTGAGGTGGCATTTAATTATGATTTGCATTTTCTTAATGGTTAGTGATGGAGAGCTTATTTTTATGTGCTTTTTGGCCATTTGTACATCTTCTTTGAGGAAATATCTATTCAAGTCCTTTCTTATTTTTTAAAAATATGTTTTTTTTTACTTCAGAGAGACGGAGAGAGAAATAGAAGCTTCAGTAATGAGTGAGAATCATCAATCTCTGCCTCCTGCACTTACATACCCCCTACTGGTGATCAAGCCTGAAACCTGGGCATGTACCCTGACCAGGAATTGAACTGTGACCTCCTGGCTCAACCATTGAGCCTGGCTAGGCCTTTCTCTATTTTTTATTTGGGTTTTTTTGTTGATGTTGTTGTAAGAGATTCAAGAAATCTTTCTATATTGTGGATACTAGATCCTTATTAGATATACTAGAGGCCCATTGCACGAAATTCATGCACTGGAGGGGGAGGTCCCTCAGCCTGGCCTGTGTCCTCTCAGTCCAGGACTCCCCAGGGATCGGGCCTAAGCTGGCACTCAGATATCCCTCTTGCATTCTGGGGCTCTCGCAGTCCAGGACCCCTTGCTCCTTATTACCCGCCTACTGCGGAGACAGGAGAGGCTTACGTCACCTCAGCTGCGCTCATGAACCATAAGCCCAGCTTCTGTCTGAGCAGAGGGTCGGGGGGGGGGGGGGGGGAGGGATGCCGCTCAACCAGAAGCTGGGCTTGCTGCTCCTTAGCACTGGCCTTTCCCCCTGCCCACTGGTGGTGGTGGCAATCTGGGGCCAGGCTGGCCAGGGAGAGGCCATGGGAACTTGAGGCACCATGGTTGTGCCCCATATTGCCTCTGCGGAGGCTGTGGGATAGTGCTGCCCCCTGCCCTTCCCTGCCTCTGCAGAAGGCATGGCACCAGGACCTGGACCTTGCAGCCCCCTCTCCTGCCACCTCTGGCCTCTGGGGAAGGGGCAACACCAGGACCAGGTGCGCAGCAGGCTCTCCCACTGCCTCTGTGGAAGGGGCGGCGCTGGGATGGGCGGTGACGTGAGACCAGTCCCTATGTCACCTCTCCCACTGCCTCTATGCAAGGGGTGGTGCCGGACCAGGACCAGGCCCATGCCAAGCCGCCTCTCCCACTGCCTCTGTGGAAAGGGGGGCGCTGGGACCACCTGGCTGGCCTGGCAATGCAGGCTCGCTTGCCCCATCCACAGCCCACTAGTTGTTCTGGAAGTTCGTCTGGAAGGACATCCAGAATGTCGTTCGGCTGTCCGGTCTAATTAGCATATTACGCTTTTATTATTATAGATGATTTGGAAATATTTATTCTGTGTGCTGTCTTTTAACTTCCTTTTTTTTAAGAATATATATATTTCTTTATTGGTTTCAGAGAGGAAGGGAGAAGGAGAGAGAGATAGAAACATCAATGATGAGAGAGAATCACTGATTGGCTGCCTCCTGCACGCACCCCACTGGGGATTGAGCTTGCAACCCAGGCATGTGCCCCTAGCCGGAACCGAACCCGGGACCCTTCAGTCCACAGGCCAACGCTCTATCCACTGGGCCAGGCTGGCTAAGGCTAACTTTCTTGATAGTGTCCTTCCAAACACAAATATTTTTAATTTATGAAGTCCACCTTGTTTTTTCATGTTACCATACATTAGTTGTTATGTTACCTATGCAAGTTTATGAATATTTACTCCTATATTTCCTTCTGTTTTATAATTTTAATTCTTACATTTAGGTCTTTGATCCATTTTTAGTTCATTTTTGTATATGATGTGAGATATATGTCCAACTTCATTTTATTTATTTACTTATTTACTAGAGGCCCGGTGCACAAAAATTTGTGTACTCGGCGGGGAGAGGGGGTCACTCAGCCCTGCCTGTGCCCTCTCGCAGTCTGAGACCCCTCGGGAGATAACGACCTGCTGGTTTAGGCCTGCTCCTGGGTGGCAGAGGGCAGGCCCAATCCCTAGGTGCAGCCCCTGGTCGGGCTCAGAGCAGGGCCGATTGGGGAGTTGGGGCGCCGCCCCCTGTCATGCACAGAGCAGGGCGGATCTGGAGGTTGCGATGCCACCCCTAGTCACACTCAGGGTATGGCCGATTGGGGGGTTGGGGCACCGCCCCCTGTCACACACAGAGCAGGGCGGATCAGGGGGTTGGGGCACTGCCCCCTGTCATGCACAGAGCAGGGCCCATCAGGGGTTTGGGGCTCCGTACCCTCTCACACACAGAGCAGGGCTGATCAGGGGGTTGAGGAGCTCCCCACTATCACTCACAGAGCAGGGCCCATCAGGGGGGTTGGGGTACCGCCCCCCATCACACACAGAGCAGGGCGGATCAGGGGGTTGGGGTGCTGCACCCTGTCACACACAGAGCCGCAGGGTGATCCGGGGGTTTGGGTGCTGCCCCCGTCACGCTGATCCCGGTGCCGGGAGGCCTCACGGCTCCGCTGATCCCGGTGCTGGGAGGCATATTACCCTTTTACTATATAGAATAGAGGCCTGGTGCACAGGTGGGGGTGGCTGGTTTGCCCTGAAGGGTGTCCTGGATCAGGGTGGGAATCCCCACTGGGGTGCCTGGTCAGTCTGGCTGAGGGCCGTTTTCAGGCTGACAGGTGACTGAAGCTCCCAACCGCTCCTTTTTTTCTTTTATTCTGGGCCAGCTGTAGCTCTGAGGCCTCGGCTGTTGAAAACAGGTTTCTGGCCTTTGTTTACCGTCTGTATTTGATACAATGTTGCGGTCTGGCTGGCTGAAGCCCGACTGAGTAAAGCAGGTCTGGGGTTTTTTTAGCTTCTATTTTTGCAACATAGTTGCTTAGAGTTGCAGCTGAGAGGCCGGAAAGTCAGGCAGGGAATGTTGGAGTCCTCCATCACTGAAGCAAGCAAGCCTCCCTGTTCGCATCAGCTGCCTGGCTGCCGGCCGCCATCTTGGCTAACAGTTAATTTGCATATCTCCCTGATTAGCCAATGGGAAGGGTAGCGGTCGTACGCCAATTACCATCTTTCTCTTTTATTAGATAGGATTTATTTATCTATCTATCTACTTATTTATTTTGCATGTGAATATCCAGTTGTTTTAGCACCATTTGTTGAAAGGGCCAATTTTACCCCATTGTCTGCCCATGACAGCCTCAGCAAAAATAAAATAAAATAAAATATCAATTGACCATAGACATATGATTTAATTACTGTGTTCTCAATTCTACCCTGTTGATCTGAATGTCTTTTCTTATGCCAATACCATGCTGTTTTGATAGCTTTTTTTTGTAGATTGCTCTGACTACTTAGGGTCCCTTGCAATTTAAAACAATTTCAGAATCATCTTGTCCATTTCTGCAAAAAATGACTTGGAATTTTAATAGGGATTGTATTTAATCTGTAAATTGATTTGGAGAGTGTTGCCATTTTAACAGCATTAAGTCTTCCCATACATGAACACATAATGTCTTTTCATTTGCTTATGTCTCCTTTAATTTCTTTCAATATTTTTTTTCAGTTTTTAAATAAGATTTGTACTACACAAGTCTTGAACTTGCTTGAATAAATTTATTCCTAAGTATTTTATTTGTCTTAATGTTATTGTAAATGGTTTTATTTTCTTAGTTTTCTTTCAGACTGGCCATTGATATTATATAGAAATACAAAGACTTTTGTATATTGATCTAGTATACAGAAACTGCTGAATTTATCTCTAATAGTTTTGTGGGGGATGGGTAAGAGGGTTCTTTGGGATTGTCAATACATAAGATCATGTCATCTGCAGTTAAAAATAGTTGCACTTCTTTCCAATATTTCTTCCCAACCTGTATGTATTTGTTTCTCTTTTTTGTATCTAATTGTCCTGGCTAGACCTTCCAGTATTGAATAGAGGTGGCAAGAGCAGATATCCTTATCTTATTCTTAATTAATGGGGAAAGTTTTCAGTCTTTTATCATTAATTATGATGTTAGCTTTGTGGTGTTCACAGATTCCCGTTATTAGGTTTAGGAAGTTCCTGTCTGTATCATTGATTGCACTCAGGCTTCATGATTCACTAGGAGGACTCAGAAGACTCAGAAGCTGTTATACTCAGAGTTTTGGTTCATTAATCGAAATGATACAGATTAAAATCAGCCAAGGGAACAAATGCATGGGCAATATTCAGAAAAAAACAGATGCGAGCTTCCAGTTGTCCTCTCCTAGTAGTATAGCATGGACATACTTAATTCTCTCAGCAATGATGAATG